AATTAGGCTAAAAAATGTAATGAAATGCAAAATTTGCGAGATGTTAAGCTCCTTTTAACTGAAAACTGAAGTCAAATTAGGCACTTTTTCTAGCTAGACACAAGGGGATTTCAAGTGGCTTTTACTCGTGAATTTTATTGCGTGCATGGTGACAGATGAAGAACAGAACACCCTCAAATTTTGAGAAGAATGCAGGTAGAGTGGTTTGTTGGAAAAAAAAGCAAAAGCTTCGCTATGTTAGAACTACTTAATCCTTCAAGAAGTCGATAAATACTGTCCTTGAAAAGTACAGCTGATTGATTCGTTTAATGTTTCATGTGAACGAATCTGTATGCTTCATTCATGTTTGGATTGCAAATCATCATGATGAACCATGTTCAACTTCTATGTTGAAGATGTGAAGGTGCTGTCATGGCTGCTAATGCTCATACATTTCTTAGTTTGTTACTCATTTATGCCGTCAGCAATGTATATTTTCAGACGAAAACTAGCGAAACCCATTTATTTGGTATGAACAACTCTCCCGCTGCTCCAAGAATTGCAATCCGTGAACGAAACTTAGAGTACTTTGCTGTTGTGTTATACTGGTGCGGCAAGTCAAAATTACAGTTAACTTCAATAGGTTACCACAAACTGCCAATAGCTGAGATTCAATGGGGAAAGAGAGGTAATACAACGTTAGCTGTTCCTGGGCATGACCCGCCATTTGAAATTACGATCTTTAATGACATTACACTTAATCCTGGACCAGCTAAAAGCGTTGAAAATCGGGTTCAACCTGGACATCAAGTCATGATTGAACATCGCTCTGAAAACCTGCTCAGAGCACCAATACTAACGTATTCTCGACAACAACTCGTGGATCTCTGACGACAACGCTGTTTTCCCTCTTGAACAGTTATCACTCTTTTGAAACAATGCGGTATTTTTAAGTTTAGAGGACGAAGAGGAAGACGATGTAGAAGAATTCAGATCCATTATGTAAATTTTTCAGTTTGCCCAAGACCATTGTTTCACTGAGCCGTGAATCGAGACAACTTAGCGTCTATCAAGAAAGCTCCCTCGCAGGCATCAACACCTACATCGGGTTTCATTAACTTCTGTCTATTGAATACTAGGTCAGTGAAAAACAAGATAATGAAAGTGAAAGACTATGTTGTTGACCACGATATTGATATCTTGGCAATTACTGAAATGTGGCTTCGACCAGGAAACATTGATGAGGTAGATATCGGAACTCTATGTCCCACTGGTTACCGATTTTTTCATGTTCCGAGATCATATTCCCTCGGCGGCGGAGTTGGCTTATTACTGAAAGAAACAATAAATGTAAACAGCCAGATCACTGACACCTTTGAATCTTTTGAATACATGGATGCTCGTCTTCATTGTTTAGAAGGCATTAGGATTCTTGTGATTTATCACCCTCCTGGCCATTCATCCTATGATCTATTTTATGAAGAGTTTTCAAAACTCATTGAACAAACGGCTGTTTCACCTGGAGGCTTGCTAATTGTGGGTGATTTTAACCTACATGTGGATGACGGTGATAACTTTCAAGCTAGAAGGTTCGTGGATATTCTGGAGTCCTACAATCTCAGGAGTCACTGGAGCCACTCATATTAGCGGTCATACTCTCGATCTTGCTCAAATCAAATGACGCATTTCTTAGTGGTATTTCAATTTTTTGACCCACTGATCTCAGACCATTCTGCTGTAAAAATTAATCTGCTGCTACAGAAACCTCAGTTCAAGAAGGAAACTACGAACTATCGAAAACTGCGCTAAATTGACTATGACACCCTCTGTGATGACATTAATAATTCCACTTAACAATTTAATTGACTCAGCGCAATCATCTTATTACACTACGGTTATCAGTGATTTCTCAGGCGATCAGAGGATGTTATTTAGAACTGTTCACAAATTACTTCAGAAACAGAAAGTACAACAATATCCTTCCTGTTTTCCTGATTCCACCAGACTTGCGGATGCATTCAACAATTTTTTCATCAGTAAAATTGACAAGATACACAATGCATTTATCGAGAGAGCTCCTGAGAATGACCTCAGTTCATCTCATACTACTGACAGACCTCTGTGCGATGTGCAGATTCACAACTTTCAACAAGTTACTTTGGATATGGTAAAGAAATTTGCTGTGAAGACATTAACAAAATCATGTGACCTTGATCTACTTCCAGCATCTGTTCTAAAAAAATGCTTTCCCATCATCCTACCTACACCAACCTCGATTGTAAACATGTCCCTCAAGAATGGTGTGATGCCATATGCTTTGAAAGTTGCGGTATTAAAACCGCTTCTCAAGAAACAAGATGCTGATTTTGAGCAATAAAAAAATTTCCGCCCAATCTCAAATCTAACATTTGTGTCCAAGCTAATAGAGAAGGCTGTTGCTTTGCAATTAAACGACCATATACTGAGGCGTTATCTTGACGAGACATTTCAGTCTGCCTATAAAGCATTTCACAGTACATAAACGGCCTTCACTAGAGTTCACAATGATATTCTCACTGCTAATGATAACAATAACACTGTTATTCTACTTTTACTCGACCTATCTGCTGCCTTTGATACTGTCGATCATTCCATCTTATTATCAAGGTTATCTGGTCGCTTTGGGATCAAGGGAACAGTACTCGCCTGGCTAAGATCTTATTTAACATCACGAAAGCTGTTTGTTAACGTCAATAAATGCAGATCCTCTCAACGTTTCTTGGAACGTGGCGTCCCACAGGGATCAGTGCTTGGCCCTCTTTTATACCTACTATATACCTCTCCTCTTGCTGACATTATTAAGCGTTACAACTTGGAGTATTCTTTCTATGCTGACGACACCCAGCTCTATGTGGCATTTAAAACTAACTGGGTTGATAAAATGGTAGAGTGTAAAACTACTATCGAGCAATGTGTCCGTGATCTAGATAACTGGATGGTCATCAAAAAGCTCAAACTAAATCAAGACAAGGCCGAAGTTGTTCTTATCAGCTCAAGGTATCGTCCCAGGCCTCCTTTAGACTCTCTTCAAATTGGCAATGTGACAGTTGTACCATCATCCTCAGCTCGTAATCTTGGCGTCATCTTTGATAAGTGTTTTAACTTTGAGGAACACATAAAATCAATTTGCAAGTCTTCTCATTATCACATAAGAAATATCGCCAGAATCAGAAAGTACATCGACGAGGAGAGTACCAAAATTGTTGTTCATGCCTTTGTTACTGCGAAATTGGAGAGTTGCAATTCCTTGCTACATGGTCTTCCACAACATCTAATTTCAAGATTGCAATCTATTCAAAACACAGCAGCTTGAGTTGTTACACGTACTAGGAAATTTGATCATATAACCCCTGTCCTCAAACAGCCTCACTGGCTACCTGTTCATTAACGTATAGTTTTTAAAATTCTCCTACTGGTCTACAAAGCTCTCAATGGAACACTTCCTACATCAGTGAATTACTTAAGTACCACACCTCTGAGCGGAAATTAAGATCGTCCTCTCAACACCTTCTGGCGACCCCGAAAGCTAGACTGAAAACATATGGAGAGAGAGCGTTTGCTGTGGGGGCACCAAGACTATGGAACTCGATCCCACTTGAACTAAGATCCAGTAGTTCGATAGACATTTTTAAACGACATTTAAAAACATATCTTTTTAAACAAGCTTTTTAACTCTTTTAATTTTTAGATGATTTTTAACTTATTGATGTAGCTTACGTGATGCTTTCTTTTTATGATATTGTAGAACTTTTATATCTTTTTTAATGTAAAGTGCCATGGACAAATAGTGGATTGAGCGCTATATAAATATTTTATTATTATTATCATTATTTGTTCTTTTTTCCCTCTTCACACTTGTTACAAAAAATTACACTTGATCATATTCCATTCTCCATTGCTACATCCATCTCTTCATTATGTATGTATGTTATTTTATATTTGTTGTTAATTTAATTACCACTCGAAACTGACAAGTTTTGCTTAGGCCCTGCTCTTACGCCACACATTTGTAGAATCTAATACCCAAGGATGAAATTCAAAGACTTACTAAAAAAATATCAAGAACATCGTACAAAGAATAAATTGAATCAAACTTTTGGGGTAAATAACATGCTTCCGAATTGAACTCCTCCTATGCAATTTACAGAAAGCGTCAACTGGGCGTTTTTACTTTGAAAGTTGCGTGACAGACGTATAACGTACGACGCATGCGCGCGACCTAAATGCCTATGTTCGCTTTTTTATGCTTTTTTTCGTAATTTCGTTGGTAAAAAAGTTGTTGTGGAGAAAAGTTGTACCCCACTTCGTTTAAAATCGTAGAGGAATAGAGTGCATATACGCTTAAAGCTCTTAAAGCGGCCTACCTATATTTACCTAGTGTTCTTCACATCATTTCCAAAAAATGCATTCGCAGAACCATAACAAAGACTGCAAGGTTTGCCTGAGAAGGAGAAAGATGTAGAAGTCATACCGGTATGTTCGAGCTTAACGTGGGCAGATTAGTGATTGCTGTCATTCCAAGTTCACAGGGTGAAAAGTTATTTCTCGATTGGTGTAATTGAAATTGGAATTGGAACTACACATGTAAAGAAGATTTTCTAAATGGCACTAACACCAGCTGGAAATGATGCTTTTCCAAAGTGACTGAGAGGGTTCTGCAGATATGTTCAGGTTTCATAATTCTTCAATACATTTTTAAGAAGTTTTTAGATAAAGGAAGGTTTTGTTATAATTTCAAGCGCAGATGATTAGGGAGCAAAGCTGGCAAAGTAAGATGCGACCTTGATAAACACCTAATTTCTTTAAAATTTTCAAAACTGATTTGCAGAATCCTGTATGGAAGAGACTAATACTTTTGCTGTTTTTCTTTCTTTTTTTTCTTTTTTTTTGCTAAAAATAGGTCTCCTGAAAACAGTTTCAGCAAAAATTTTATAACTTTTTGTGATTATGATGACTTTCAATAAATCTTACGCACTTGTTGTACAGTTTAAACAAGGTATAGAAATTGGCAGGCAGAAAAAAAACTGAACCCAGACACAGAGAGTTTAAACAGGACAAAAAATCAGGCGTAGGCCTTTCGAATAATATATTTTGTTCTAGTGGTAGTAACAAAGACTTCAATGTTAACCAGATACATGGCCAGCACGGGTCCTTTAAATATCATTTCTGGTTATTTCCACATTTGGCATTTCTAAAAGTTTAGGTTGGGCTGTGTTCATACTATTATTACTGGTAACACATGGGTTCCCAACAGACACCACCATCGCTAGTTACTCTGAGGTGTTTAATAAGGCACTAATGTTATTCTCCTTCAGATGATGAGACTTAACTAAGTGTGCATTTATTTGTTAATAGGGTTTGGGTATGTATGCCTATGTGCGGGGTACCGCAGTCGTAATGGTGTGGAGGCATCTGTACTGTCATGACATCTCATGAATAAAATTTTTTCTGGCTACCATAAATGTTGTAGCTATTTAGGCTTTACTCTAAGATTCCTATTCTGAAACACTGAATTGGTCTATTTCTGTGGTTTCATAAATTCTTTTTGCCATCATGACAGCAATGTGACAGTCTTCAATCCAAACATTAGGCGTCTAAAACAATGGCTGCTCTGCTCTTCTTGAGAGTAAATTTTGTCTCGTTCCATGTCATCCATGTCAAGAGTAATGACTGATTTCGCAGCTATTAGATAACCTGAACGGTGATATGATACTTGATACTTCATCAGACATTTAGAGGAAATGGTGGCAACACTTTCCACCGTTTAAACATAGAATAGCAGTAATCTCCAATCTTCGCGTGTTTAACATTAGCACAATAATAAGACTTCTGTTCTCGTAATGACGTCTGTCTTTTGCCTCCTTTTCTGGCAAACCTTGCAATCTTCGTTATTATCTGCGAGTGAGCTTTGGGAGAACTGGAAGCACAAGTTATATGCAGACCACCAGGCAAATACATGTGGTTGCCTTAAGTGAGAAAGGTGGTTCATGGTGAGGGATATGCTCGTGTTTTAAAGAGAAACAGCTATGCTGTTGTTTACAAGGAGGAGCAGGGGGGAAGCTGAATGTTAAGGCCACATACAATACTTTCTGTTACATAGGCCACACTGTTGCCACAGAGTGACAGGTTCATGTCATTTTTGTGAGCCTTCACCATTTGCAGTCATACAAAGACGTGAACCAGATGAATTAGCTGAGTTTGCAGATTCTGAATCAGACATTGCAGTTAATTACATTCACATTTTCAAGAGGTCAAGGTATGCACTTCACAATAAGTACATGTAATTGTATGTTAAAATATTAAAGTTCAATTATATATGGCTTTTATTCTTCCTCATTTTGAGTATTGTGGCCCAGTACTTGTTGGAATACCTAAATCTTTATCTGATAACTTAGAAGATGCAAATTACTATATTCTCAGAACTTTATTGGGTTTACCTAATTCTACTTTGCATGATAGCATTCTTAGATTAATTAACACATGTACACCAGAGCAAAGGTTTATTCATGTTTTGATCCTGCTTTTTTAAAAGTTTTAACAGGAATGGTCCCAGTTACATGAAAGATTTCTTTAAACTTTGTACAGTCAATTATAATCTTAGAGACACTAAGCATGAGAAAAATTCGTTTCAGAGTAAGTGCCTTAATTCCTTTGCATCCATAGCCAGCCACCTTTGGAATACTTTACCATGCAATGCTAGAATTGCTAGTAATGTGAATACTTTTAGAGGTATAATAGACAAATTAAACCTTGTACCATTTATTTATTGCTAAGCACCATAATAAGAATTTGTTACTGTGCCCTGCACATGATTGTTTAAAGTCTTTTATACTTTTGTAATTTATTTACTATTTTCAGTATCTTGTAGTTCCATGTGCGCATTGTAAACGAGTATGCTGAATGCTCTTAAGCATTATGTGGATAAATAAACTATGTATCTATCTAATATGAGAGTGGCTTTTTTTAAACTGTTATGGTTTGAGATTTTCTGGCGGCGTTATAGAACATAGTTCTGTTGATATAGTAATAATACTTTAATAATGATACTTTATTCAAATACATATATGCTCATAAACATGATATGCGATACATATGTGAAAAGGTGGACCATGAGGTTATCCCTATAAAAGGTCCCCAAACTGAACTTTAAAAACATTAAAAAAGATTATAAAAAAACACGTATAGAAATCATTAGTGCAGGAACAAACAAGAAACATTCATTTTTATGTGGCTAGTATTACCATCAGAACAAGGTTTTTTTTTGATCCTGTTATAAAACAGTCTGCTTTCACTAATTCTCTTCACTGTTTTCTTTCAAATTATCAACTCAAGTATTGAAGGCATGTGTGAATATTTATGCTGAATAAACTGAGTAAAATTTTGAAAAAAAAAAAAAAAAAAAAAAAAAAATTCTGCTGCCGCAAAATGGTCCAGGTTCGCCCCTCTTTTGGTTTTCTTCGATTTCATGGTGGGAAATGGCCA